ATAGTGTACTTCCGAATTTGCCATTGTGTCATAAATTAATGAGAGGAATGAGAGAGTTGACTTTGAGTATACGAGACTTTCAGCACTGGCCGCGAGACGCAGCTCTGCTCTAGAAATCGCTCATGAACTCAACCAACATCTAAACGATTACAAACAGATGGGATAGAATACTTGCAAGAGAGAACACTGCAAAGTTTTCTCATATATCACTTTAACAATTCCTAAATAGAACTTCAGTACCAACTCATATTTTTTCGTTGACTGAGTTTTCATTGGATGCAAGAAGGACAACAGTTTTTTTTATTGAAGATGCTACTTATATCATTTCAGCAATGTACATATCTTTTCAATCGACTGCTTCTTAAGACCTCGCCTAATATTTAGTAGAACTCGACAGCATATTTAAGCCTTCCGTGAGGTGTGCTATGGCACTTTTAGTCCTAGACATATGTCTCGGCCTTCTGGCGTCATCAGTAGCACGTTACCTTTCGATTCAGCCAATTCCCTTATGCGGAAACAAACCTCTACATATAGGCTAATCGATACGGAACTAGTTACACTGCTCGTAAATCAAAAACATCGTTTTACACTGCAGAGATAACAAAATACTGTATGTCAAGTGATAAGATTACCTGACATTGCTAGTGAGCCAGGTTTGAAAAAAAGTTCGATATATAGGTATTATTCAATTTACCAGCCAGAAGCAATCGACTGTTAATCACTACAGTATCAGGTGATCTTATCATTTGACATGCAATGATTTGTTATCACTACAACATAGAGCGATCTTTTTGCTTTACAGGCAGTGTACTAATTCGGCATCAAGTCCCTCAAATGTAGTGGTAAATTCCCTTATAAAAGGATTGACTGACCCAAAAGCCACTGTGTTACTGAAGAGGCCGGAAGGTCGAAACGTATGTCTAGCACTAAAAGTGCTATATCCGACCTCATGAAAGACTTAACATATACTGTCAGAATGTACAGACCTTTCAATGATTGAGCACTAGTAACGATGTAACACAGGATCGAGTAAAAAGAAAAGGAAGCGAAAAGCACAAGCCCAGAGAACTCCATGGGTGATGGCAGTAGGTTAAGAGCATGCTTGAAAATCAGCATGAATTAATATGAATAAATAGTTTCCATACAAAATCAACGACCCACAGTTTTTGTCGGCAGCCCCGTATTGTTCATTACTGAGTAATTAACGGAATTAGAAGAGAAGTTTATCACACGATATAGAGGAAAGCGTTTTAGAATATTGTTGAAATTTTAAATTCACGCATAACAAAAGGTTTCAAAAACTGAAAACCTAGTTTGAAATCTAATAGATTTCAAGTATCGCGGCGCCAATCATCAACGATATAGAGATAAAATCAAATCACGTGTGTTCAGTCGCTTGACTTCCCATAATACGAGCTTCTACAAGATATTCCGAAGAAGTTCTTTCTGAGAAAGCCAGAAAATCAAACCTTTATGAATGTAGCAGCAGAACAGGTAGACTTCTATCAATGTTAGCTAAGAGACGTTCATTTAAAATTAACAGGGGCACTTATTTCACACGCCATGTGGATCGAAAGCCACTCACAACGTTCGCTGTGAGTTATAAAGCTCGGAAAATCGAAAAAATCGCAGCATCGTACATAATTCAAAATTCTAGTTAGTGTATGATAAGCTATTACAACCAAATTAACGTAATATTTCAATGGTGATAACAAACTAACGCACGCACAAAATTCTTAAACAAACCATCCCCTTCTCCATTTTGACACTTAGCAAGTCTCATTTAGTTTCAGAAAAGAAAATGTGAGGAGAAACTATACCTTGTTTTCGGAGAGATGACAGAAAAACAGCGCGCACTTTTCCGAACCGACCACGAAGGTGTGAAGGCAGTTTGAAAAACTACTAAAAGTCATAAATCCATTGACAACTACAGGCAAACAGAGCTCGGTTGATTTTCCAAAGTATGGATATCAATCTTTCCAGATAATAAAGATCTACTACCATTTGACTATGTTTCTTATCAACGCTCACTATGAAAGCAGAACAACAACAATGAAAGATCAAGAGTGCTGCCTTTTGAAAGACCAAGAGTGCTGTCTTTGTTGCTCTTGCTGGAAAATTTGGAAGAACTTCCTTAGCAATTAGTCAATTGTATTTTAGAGTATGACTTATCCATAATTCGGAATACAAACTCCGAGAGATGCGACTGAACTCAAACCTGAGAAACTCAAAGTGTAAAGGCAGGCCTTGTTCCGATCCAAAACAGCTGATGACCTACTCTCGAGATTCTGAACAGAACCACATTGAAAGGGCATTGAGCACTCCAACGGGACTAAATTAATCCTTTAAAGACGACTGGGTCGATCGCGAAGCGTGATTGCGCAAGCGGAGCGTAATTTTCGTTATTAATTAGGATTTTTCCCATAGGTTTGTTATGACCTCTAAGTTACTTGTGTATTTGTGATACTCTATGATTTCCTCTACACGCTCAAATGCTTTTTGTACATATATATATATATATATATACATATATATAGGTATAAGTGTGCATATATATACAGGTATATATAAGTATAAATGTGCATATATATACGTACACAAATGTATGCGTATAATATATATATATATATATATATATACATACATATTGCGCTTGATTGAAGACTGGAGCTAACGAATGACTACCAAAGCTTCGCACAAAATCTGTCGAAAGGCTCAAGCCGAGCAAACAAAGAAAATCAAGTGTGAAAGATATTATTTTTACTGCTACGGTGCATCAAGTCTTTCAAAAACAATGTAAGCTGTTGAAATCGCCGTTTCTCAAACTACCGAATGAATACCAAAACTCTTATGTATAATTTCTGTTCGATGAGAAAGCTAAGGGACCACTCGTAGTAATTTCATGGAATATATTCTGTTCAAAAGGCAACGAAACAGATGGAGAAAGTTAAGAAGAGCACGATATATGCGGATTATTTCCCAGCTAAATATTTAATTTATAAAAAGCACAATTACATAAGTAGTCACAAATCTTCTATCACTTGAACTCAATACGAACCGTGACTTGCAAGTACTATCGCTAGGAATAGCCCTCGTCAAATCCTCTCGGAGATTTTTATCCATCAGGTATGAGTAAAGTTTAGTTCAACTATGAAAACAATCACAAGGATGCTGAAGTATGAGCGAAAATTGGAACGTCGGATGGATTTCAACTGCGACTACTCTCACCAGAGCGCACGTGTTACCTCCACACCAACCGAGGCTCTCACTTTGCTCTCCTTTCAGGAATATTGCAATCAAAATGATTGCTATCAACAACCACTCTTCAATGAAACGATTCCAAGAAACACAAAATGGCACTGAATCCAATTTAATCGAAGTTTTAGCTGAAATCACAGAGACAAAAATTTTACTTCATGCCTACTACATTCATACCGCTTTACATAGTCTTTCACGAACAAAAAAAAAAAAAAAAAAGACTAGGAAGTGAATAGAAGTTAGAACATTGTACGAAAACAGTACAATTCGAGACTACAGAAACACTATGAGGACTCGATGAATTATGATATTAGTAGAACACGGTTCTAACAATTATCTGAAGAATTTCATTATCTAAAAAAAAGCTATTTCAGATACTCTCAGAGACTCGGCCAATAAAGAATGTGCGAGCATGGTGGCCATGAAAATGATAAGCAATTAACATTCGGAATGTAAATAAAGAATTATGAGAGTAAAAATTCAAGTCGGCTTCAAATTATTCAATGCGAACTAGTGGACAATGACCACTTCTGGTTACCAAGAATCTCATAACACAAAACAATTACTGAATTGATAATAGAATTTCCTTTGGATTTGGACTTAGTAGTTATATGAATTTTCTATTTTGATTTGGCCAGTTTCACGAAGTTGTCAAAGAAAAACAAATTCGGTTCATGTTTCGAGGCAGTTCGTCTTCTTCAGGCCCGACTGAGTCTTAGCCGATGCTCTACACTCATTCATACATTGTGGTCTTTGTTGCCGTTTGAGTCAAATTTTCTGCATCAAGAGTATTGTCTAACGGAAAACAAATATCATCATTTGACAATCGCTACCATCAACAACCATCCCATTCAAAAAGAGCACTGTCGGGTGAGAATCCCATTCGAGCGATACTATTTTGAAGAATATCCAACTCGAATGACGATCAAGGTCACAACGAAAACTGAAGATTGTGGAGCATCGGTTAGGAACAGTCAGCACTGGAGGAAAACGAAACATGTCGAAACGTTAACCAAATAAATTCATTTTTGACAACTTTGTGGAACTGGCTCAATCAACAAAGGAGACGTCATTCATTAGAAAAGAACATTGTCGTTCACAAAAAATTTCCTGAACAAAAAAATTGCGCCTGATTCCCGGCATAAGAGATATACTTTGTGTGACAAAAATCACAAAGAAATATCTCAAGCAAAGTGGACTCGTTTTACACCGATTTGTAGAAAAAAAACTCACCGGTATACAGTTTATGGCGGGAATTGCAGCTTCTGAGAGCAAAATCGTATTCCCTAATTAACTTCGAATTCTCAAAACCACCAGATAACCATTTAGAAAAATTACCTAAAAAGAACAAAACAGGAATCGGTTTAGGGTCTTTTGAGGAAAATCATTCAGCTGAGATCAAAATGTCACTTCGCGCATGGCACGATAATGAAAACTATTCAGGAGGGAATTTTTCCGGATCACCCGATTAGACATTGATTCCGTCGATGGAAATCACATCAAATTATCTTGAAACATGGAAATACTTCTATCAAGTAAACCAGAATGACGACACTAATTTCGAGTAAACAGAATAAACAGATTGGCCACTAAGAAGCCCGAAGAAGGCGGAACTAAAGAAAAGTCAGTTTAAGTGGATGAAGCAACTAAAACATCTCGTTTATAAATCTTTAATTTGATTGATGTAGCGGAGCCGTAATGTTATAAATCACCCAGAGATGTATAGTAAAGTGCAAAACCTTGGCGTCAGACCGGACTCGAACCTGTATCTCACGCTATTCAGGAGCACGTGCTCTAACCTGTTGCACTACTGACGCCCTTTTGCTCACCACTCTTTCTACGCTACAACGCATACATCTGTAAAATCGCATATAGCAAAACGTGCGTCAGTAGTGCAACGAATCAAAGCACACGCCCTCGGATAGAGTGAGATGTGGGTTCGAGTGCCGCCCAACGCGAAAGTTTTGCACATCACTCTACATCAGTGGGTATATTTGTAACATCTCATTTATAAATATGAGATGTGAAACATAAAGAGTAGAAAAGGCTATATAATGATGATGATCTATACGCAATAAGACAGTCAAACATTTTAATTCGTACAATTACATCTAGTGTTTTTCAAAAGGCTTTTAAAACGGAGAGGAAAACGCAGAATAGTTACCAGAACTGACATTCATATCAACTTCGGGTTAGCTTTATGGTATAAGAGATACAACACAATTTTCACCAAAAAAAGTGAAATAAAAAATTGTGTTGAATATTTCTCATTGTCCTAAAGTTCCCTAGGTTCCACAGGAGAGGAATTAAATATTTGCCAACAAAAGTATAGACAAACAACACGCGGGCTTTTCGATAATGAAATTTCTGTTCAAAATTTCTAAACAAAAAAGCACCTAACTGACAAAAAAAATCCAGAAATTATCTAGCTAAAGTGGGAAAACGAAAAAACGCAAAAGTAAGGCGAAAATAAGTATAACGAAACTCGGGAAAAAAGAGTACGCGCGCGCTTATTTCCCCCTCATAGACCGCTCTCTTTATCCATGGAAATTGGAGGCGCGTGTGGCGCAGTGGTTAGAGGTGCCCTGCGTCGCACACGAGGTCACTGGTTCGATCTCGCGCTCATGGCTCACCAAGCCATTCATCCCTCCTGGGTAGGTAAATTGGTACCAGACAGGTCTCAGACTTGTCTGGGAGGATAAGCAGCACTGACTCGGTTCAGCGGGAGGCCACCGCGAGTCATTGTAAAGGCCAGATGTGCATTCAATCACCTCAAAACGAAGTTAAAAATTAAAGTCGAATGGAAGTCGAATGCATGGCGCATCCCTCAGGGATTGATCAACGCCGAGAGCTTTATCCTTTTTTTTTTTATCCATGGAAATTTAGGGCACCAGACTCACACGGAGTTGCTGTGAATGCCTATTCAGCAAACATATCTGCGTTTTCTCCTTTTTGAGAGCGCTCTAGAAAAATTATTAGATATAAGTTCTACAATTTAAAATGTTCAATTGTTTTACTAAAAAATAATACAATAAGAGAACATACGTGAAAAATAGAACATATAAACGAGAAGGCGCAAGAAAACGTAAATGCAAAATCTATAACATATGATGGAGAAAAGCGATATGATCATAGATTATTGAAACAAGTTAGGAAATTGATGCCGTTAGGACGGAATGTACAGTACAAAAACGAATAAGTAAACATACCCACAAGTGAATAGATAAAGATGAACAGATAGCTAGAACCAAAAGTTATTAAACAAAAAAGAATGGCTTGAAAGGATAAAAAAAAAGGCTTGAAAGGTTCAAAAACATCCTTTCAGACTTTATTAGATACAAACAGAGAAGAATGAACAGATGCAATACAAGTAAACAAATAAAGTAAATAAAGACGAATGGATAAATTTATCCGCAAGTAAACAAACAATGGAAGACGAGCAAAAAATATGCAGTCGAAAGTGAAAACAGATAAAGAGAAGTAGATAGATATACCCGCAAGTAAACAAACAAACAATAAACAAACTAACGAGGACGAACAAATAAACAAACGCACAAGTAAACATACAAACAAAGACGTAATTGATAAAATTAATGGTGGCGACTGACGCCTGCGGAAATGCGCATTTGAATGGCTGCAGAAAACGCGGGCGCGCGCGCACGACCGGCGACTTGAACGCTGCCAGTGCAATTGGAGCGAGGATGAACGATGGAGCAACGAACTCCAAGCTCTTACCGGAATCGCTCCCTTAGTGGGTCCATCGACATCGAACAAATGAATACTCGAGAATTCCAGTATTTTTTTGTTGCATTTTTTTTGCAGCATTATGGTGTTTCATATACATATATGTACATAAATATGCGCATATATACGTATATATACATATATATGCGTATATAATATGTATATATATAATATATATATATATATAATACATCTAAGCGAACTGTATCTTTCACACCACTCAATTCGCTTAGATATATATGAAACATCATAACCTGCGAAAAAATTCAGGAAATTTTCTAGAATTCTCGAGTATTACATCTAACAGTGGCCATCAGCTCAACTGAGTTCATAAAGCGAAGTCGGATACCCGACCAAACCTGTTAAAGGTTGGTGGTTGATAACTATCATAGACATAGAGATATTAAAGAATGAGTGGTGGCGTAAATGTGCTTTGGTGGCATAGTGGCAGCACGCATCCCCGGTATCGATGAAACGCGGGTTCGACTCCCGCCAGAGGTCGTATTTTTGCTCACCACTCAATTCGCTCAGGGTATACATGGATCAGATGAATTATCAGGTACATGTTGAGTTGAGCTTGATAGGGCCATGCGTACGTGATAAGGTAACATTGAAAGGGGTGCATCCACATCACCTGTCACCTGTCACCTGTCGTCCGTTGATCGTCGAGTGAACTCGAGCGAGGTACCAGCAACACTTCCATTTTTCCCTATCGCGTGCAAGAGTAGCCCAGTGGGTCCTCCTCGCTCTAGGGATTCGCTGAGCATCATATCTTTCTGTTAAAGCTTTCGTGAAGAAATCGGACCAACGGGTCAGTGGTCTTCGAAATGCCAAAAACAGCAACAGCAACAGCATCCACATACGCATAGTTTAAAATCAGCATATAATGTGAAGGAATGTTTCAAGCCTTTCAGAAGTTTAGTAGAGGCATCTCTAGCGCTATACGTAGTTTTCGGCGTATTCTCGAACGCCTCGTCAGTACCACATACCATCGATGCACCCTTACAATCAATAGTAGCGGCGCCAAAGATATGTCACTCGACGTCAAATGAAAAGATCAGTGGAATTCTCTCAGAGCGATTGATTGTCGATTGCATGACTTACGGCAGTTACGGAGCATATGTATCAATGCCTTAGAGATCACTTTAGCAGACTTCTGAAAGACTTAAAACTTTCTATCAGATTATATTGAATTTTCAAGCGAGGTCTCAAGATATTCCATTGAAGAATATAATTAGGAAACTTCATTGAGGTTGAAGGTGATCATTAAAACCCGTAGAATGGCGACCACTGGTTGAAGACTTTCATATTTTTATTGTGCTTTCTCCTTTCTTTTCAAATTCTTTCACTCAAAACGGTCATAGTTCTTTAGTGGAATGGTCCTAATGACATCACTAAAGCTCGCTACTGACTCGCAGTCAGGGAAATTACTCAAGCTTCTATGATTGCCGTAGTTGTTTTTCATACTAGTGGTAGTCGCCACGCTGGTTATAAGCCAACCATGAAGATAGCGAGTGGACACCGTACTGATAGAAATTGGGTAAAGACTCGTTCCGCACGTTAGTCCTCCCTACCTGACTGAAATAAAGAAAAATCGACAATGCATGGCCTTCAAGAGTTTTGATTTGCCACTCTTATGACAATGTTACGATTTTGTAATCACATTCAGGGATGCTGAGTGATATGCAAAACTCC